AGTGACTTGTCAGTCCTCAGAGGCTTACAGTTGCTTTTTTCTGACCCTCTGTCTTCATGTGACGATCCCTCTCTGTGACTTTCCATTGTCCTCCATGGGCTGCTGTCTTTCCCATAGGTGGACACAAGTCACATGGATAAGGAGTCACCCTAATTATCTCAATTTTCCCTCATTGCATCTGCAAAGACCCTATTTGCACATAGAAATAACCTTTCCATACACTGGCAATAGAGGACTTCGCCATGTCTCTCTGTCAGCTTATAGTAATACCTGATACTTCTAGAGATCTCGCATTATTTTATTGAATTTAAATTCCAGGTATAACCTGCCGCTCTCCCCACAGAAGATTCTGTTGATTAAATTGCCTCTTTAGTCCATCAGCTCTCAGATGCCATTCCCTGGCAGGAGGATATAACTAGGGAGCTAATAACTCAATCAATAAGGAAAAGAGCTTGTTCTTCCATATTTCCAGCTTCGCCGATGCCTCATTCTGGAGCGTGTTGTTTTTTGTTTTTGTTGTTGTTGCTGTTATTATTGTTACTAGATGTTTGTTAGGAAATGCGAAGCCATTTAATTATATATCTATATCTGTATCTTGATACATCAAAGATAGGAAAAAGAATTTTACACACACACACACATCTTAAATATAGGAAAAGGAAAAAAGATCATCTGATTTCCAGTGATGTCTAGGGATGATATTATTGTCAGGAGGTAGCATGAAGTGGAATATAAAAGAGAATATGGTTTCACATATGTAGTAGCACTTTACAGAAAGGTTTGATTGAAGTGTTTTTACTATTTACAAAACACCTTATATTTCAGTGTTGTTCGTGGAATTTAAAGATGAAAACATGTTGACTGTGTAAGTACCCTGTGAGTTGATGCTGCTTCTCCAGTGAAGAGTGCACCGCCATGTATGACAGCTTAGGGGAAATGCTGTTCTGTGGGAAATGTCCTGTGATGTCTAGTTCTAGCTCCCTCATGAAAAAAAAACAACCTTGGTTTTAATTCTTAATTTTAAGAATAAAAATACAATAGTATGTTTCTTGTAACAAACCTTTCTGTATAAAATATATGTAGAATAAAACATACATGATTGCTGAAGTATAACATGCATCCACTGCAGAATAACTAAAAATGATGGTTACACACACACACACACACAGAGAGAGAGAGAGAGAGAGAGAGAGAGAGAGAGAGAGAGAGAGAGAGAGAGAGATTATTCATTGACCTATAATCTAGAGATGGCCATTGATAATATTTTTGACTTATTTGTTCTAGTATATTTTGAGCTTATAATACTTGAGTAAACATTGTGTATTTAAATAGTATATCATGAATGTTTTCATACCATTAATGTTCTTCTTACACTTCGTTTTGCAAAATCACTATTTCACTCCTTTTTGGAAGTTACAGTTTTAATTATAAGAGTCACAGGGCTTCCTAATAAGTGAAGATGATACAAAGAAGAAAATCCTACTTTTCCAATAGTTTCTCAGAGATGACATACAATTCAGGACAGATTATTACATGCAATTTTGTCACCTACTGGCCATCATGCTTTTCCTCTTTGTCACCTAGCTCTTAGTTGAGTGCCAGCAGTATGATAGTTGTTCTGCAGGCTTTCTGTGAATAAGTGGATGCGTGTATGAATAATTAAATGGAGAGGGTGAGCAAGTCTATGAATGAAGAGGCTGGAAAGGCTTGTCTTATGATAGAATAAAAATACATTTAAGACTCAGCAACTCACTTTACGTTGAGAGAGAAGTTAGCTAAGTCCAGGGCCTTGATGAATGGGAGCCTGTTCTTTCTGTTCATCTGAATCTGCCCATAGGCAGAAATTCAATCTAATTTTCCCCCATCAGTCAAGATGAAAAGCTGAAAAAGCAAAACAGAGACAAGGGAGGGGCCAGTACTGCTCGTTCTTTCTGTGATAGGAAGGTCATGTGATGAGAGGAGGCATACTTCCCTGAAGAATGGGTCCTGGAAAGCACTGTCCTCCCAGAAGACCCCGTGTGGCAAAGGGACTGATAACCTCCCCTAAGGGTAGAGACTGCAGCATGTCAGAGAGAACCTCTTGGTCTTTGCCTGGCTTGTCAGTGGAGGAAGACACGGCATAGTTATCTCTTTGCTATGCTAGACTCAAGCCTAACAAAGGATAAGTTTCTACTAATTCCTATATTCCTATATATCAGTTGTTCTAATTCCTATTAGTACAGTTATGACACTCATTCAGGAGCCTCCTGAATTAGGGGACACACATCTTCAGTCTGGCCCATAGATATCTGCCATGGGAAGGAAGGAAGTTACCTCTTGAAGCCCTATTTGAAAAAGTCAGTTCTTGCAATGCGGTATATTTATACCTTCTTCCCAATTACTGGTCTGGTCCTCATAAAACCTCTCTATCTCATCTCCATATGAAAATAGATACTATATAGAAACAAAAAATAGATATAATCTAGTTTATAAAAAGATAGATCAGAAGTTAGGTGGGTGGGAAAAGGCTACCTCTTTTTAGCCAACAACAGTCATCATATCCCTTCTTTAATCTAAGTATTTTTCAATAAGCCAAGTTTAGGACATTGGTCATTTTGGTCCCTTTGCTCTTATTGTTTTTTCTACTTCATAAATCTGTTCGACTTCCTAGATACTTGTGTTAGCCATCTCTAAAGGACCAGTTGAGGATTTATTTCTTCATGAAACCTTACTGTTCCATTTCTACTTCTGTCAATAATTTAAGTCTGTCTTTCCATGTGTGCATGTGTGTGTGCTGTGGGGGGTGGCGTGTTCAGTACCAATTTGCCTAACACATGGCATACCTGTATGTATTCTTACAAGAGTTACATATTTGATTTTTAAAGAATTATATGTGAAGAACAGGAATTCCATACAATGCCATTGACTTAGCTAATCTTAAGCTAAATAGCTTAAGAATAGCTGAGAGTAGATGGCCAGCACAGACCAAGAGGTGGCATGGGGAAATCTAACCAAATGGAAACATTTATATGTACAGAAAAACTGAGTTCTGATGATCTGTTTCTCAAAATAGTGACATAAATGCATTCTGTGTTTCATTATTTCTATAAGAGTAGATTTTAAGTATTTTACTATGCAAATGGTAACTTGATGTAATGGGTTTATTGAACATATTTTTATCATTTCACAACGTAAACACACTTAAAAATATCCCATTGGACATTTTAAACAAATAATGTATATAATAATTATTTTTTCAATAAAATAGTAAGATTTGCTGTTATATGTCATATAACTTACTAGTTTAAAGTCAATATTGCTTTATTCACTAAGCTAATACATAAAGGAGTATAGGAGTAGCAGGGACTGGTTTTGCCTATTTTCCCTACACAGAGGATTGGAGGCATAGGAATTAGTGCTTAGTCATGGAGGGAGAGCAGAGTTTGCATAAACACTGTGAGACCTGCTGTAGAGTTGGTGTGCTGTGGCAGGGACAAGATCAGTTGAATCAGGAAGGACATCCCGCTTTTCTGTGCGGTTGCTTTAGTAACCTTCAGCATCAAAGGTTGATCCCTTCAGATACAAGATGGAACTGACAGTATATACCCATGACTATCTTACATGCTATTTGGAGAACAGAAGTACATATCGATGATATCAATTTATATGTTTATATAAGTTTATGGAAGTAATTAATTCTATTAATAGAAAACCATATTTTTCATGGTGCTACATAAGTTGGCGTTACTAATCACCGTCTAGCTTTCATTTCAGCTGGGTCTGGTATACTGAAAAGCACAACATGGTAGAATTATTAATACTATCATAGTCATTATTCCTTGTCATTTTTATTCAGTTTTATGTTTTAATTCACGTGTGTGATAGTGACTCGTGGTCAGTTTCTTCCAAGTTGTTGCCCACCCTTAATGTGCCATAAAGAGTAAGACTACACCCATAACATAAATGGATATGGAATCTGATTATCCTAGTCAGGCTTGAGATTCTTTATTATTTATCCCAGAGTCCTGGAGATCATCTAGATTTTTGTTTTCTTCCACAAGTTGCTATATGTTGTGGCCTGCCTGTTTCTATTTTTAAATTATTGTTAATGCAATGGATATTTCACAGATATTTTGTTTGTATTAAAGTCATATAAATACAACTAAAGTAGATAAATAATAAATGTATACTATGTTTACCTTATGATAAGTGCAAAGTAAAAATAAGAGATGAGAAAGAAGAGATGTGGAGGCCAGTATTGTCATGTAGTTTTATCTGTGTGTCTGTCTGTCTGTTTGTTTTGTTGTATGTCTGTCTGTCTATCTATCTATCTATCTATCTATCTATCTATCTATCTATCTATCTATCTATCTATCTTGTTTGTGGAGAATGCCACATTTGTGGTGGCCTTGGTTGGATGAGGGCAATTTTCTAAAATAGTTTTATTCTTGCTATCTTGTCAAGGCATGGGGTTGTCATCATCTTGGCATCTCTAGTGGCATTAAAGAGTTCCACTTCATATTAACCTAGGTTATGTCAAAATTGCAAAGAAGTCAAGGAGCACAATATGTTGAATATATTATTAGCTTGAATTAATATATTGAATATATTATTATCACCAGATAGCAACTGGTGGACATTTTTATATACATGAACATTTCCCCTAAGAGTGCAGAACCCACCTGTTTCCTGTCACCACATTCTTCAGGGTGAGTCCTACATGTAAGGATTGAGGAATAGATTTAAAGCAAAAAAAAAAAAAAAAAAAAGACTTGCCTTTATACTCAAATTAAAAGCATCAGTCACTTAACAACAAGTAGAGGAAGAAGGCACCATGATAAACAAGGAACAATAACGTTCTTGTATTTTGATCTGAAAATGGGGTGTCTGCTTGGATGTGCTGGCACTCTGCTGTTGGAATCGGACGGGAGGCATCTGTGGTGGTATGGGGCACACCTGTGCTCATGTGCACTTTTGGCCACTGACTTACTCAATTCATTCCTTGCTTCACTGTCTTTCAGCTTTACAGCTCGATGGACTTTGGAAGACGATGGCAACTCGTGCACGAGCGCATCACACCCAACAGGTTTTACTGGTAAGCATCTTGGGTACCAACATTCAACATCCCTTAGATAAAGACAAAGAATGAGATAACAAAGTGGCCCAAGCAATTCTGGGCACCTTCCACTCTAGGGGGATAATGCCTCTGAGCTCTTTGCTGTTCAAAAAGAGTTCATGGACCAGCAGCATTAATTTGTTAGAAATGCAGAGTCTGAGGCCATGTCAGGATTTATGGAATTGGAACACCATTCCTTGGCAATTCCTGTGTGCATTTACTTTGCAAAGCACTGAGATAGAGAAAGTTCATGACCAGGTGCTCTTGGTCGGAAACCAAGCTATGGTCATGTTGGAAATGTACATGTTTTATGGACCTGTGCTGCAAAACATTGTTTGCCAAAGATGTCCTGTAAAAAAAAAAATCTATCCAATTTGTGTCTTTTCATAGGAATTTCTATAGTCAAGTATGTTTAGGTCACAACTTTGAAATGCTATGTCTCCAGACTTGTGACTGTGTTAGGATAGGGAAGACAGAGGGAACTCCAACTGAAGCATCATGCTGTCTTGAAGCCAGTAGAGTCTGTTTCTTTTATCCCTACTGATGGATACTTTAGAAGTCTCTCCGTAGGGCATATGTTGTAAAATGCTTCTGTAAGTGAATTCATGTTTTGAAAAGGAAATTAGCCCTTCCTTCTAATCAGAACGTGTTTTTATTAACTAATGTTCTTTTAATCATGCACACTATCTTACCATATTATAGAAAATTCAGTATTTGTCTTATACACTTCCTGATAATTGTGAGATTCTTCAATCTTGCTTACTTCAGCAGAAACAATAGATACAGAAATAGGGATGAGAAAGCCTTGGGCAACATATATAATACATTAGATCATATGCTTAATTAAAAATAATAAAAAAACATTTTAAAGCACTACCTATATACAACTTATTTAAAATGTCATATTCTAGTTTCCCTTAAAAAGCCGCATGATTGTCATTTATGCCCTTCACGTCTGTATAAATTGGAGATGGTGATGATTGTACTATAGCTACCTTGAACACATGAAGAGTCACACTAACCACCTTACAAACAAGCAGCTCTCCTTTGTATCCACAAAACCATGTCTAGAATTACAGAAGTAATTGCTCATGCATAGGCTAGCAACCCACTAAGTCCTACTGTGCACAGTTTAGTGGAGCTAGAAGAGGAAATTGAATTGCTCTTACTCAACACCTGATCTGCCCTTTGCTATTTTTGCCTCTTGCAGACCAAGTGTTATTTCATCTGTAATTCTTATTATAACTATTATTTTGTTCATCTTTGGAACTATTAATCTTTCACAGTAGACTAAGACAGAAAAAGGAAATATTGGGTCCTCTGATACTGTAGCAGTATATGCTCAGCTGAAACGGACCAATTTCTCAGAATGTCATTATTCAAGAAAAGAGAAAAACAAAATCCCTCTGTTGTTTTGGAATAAACTTGGTGATGCAGTTGGCCGAGGAAGGAGAAGGCAGAGTAGATAGCATGATCCACGCCATCGTTGCAGAATGGAAGTGAGTGGACAGAGAACGACATTTTCCTTTCTTTTGCAAAGATCCAGAGAGGAATATTCCAGCTGCTGCCCCTCCACTCCTTCCTTTTGTGGAGTAGACAGAATAAATCCCGAGGTCCTGATAATTGCATTTCCTCCGTGCTCCACTCTGTGCTTCTTTCACATCTGCCCCCATGGGGAAATATAAAAGTTAGTGTCCGTGCTGGCTAGCCAAGTGAAAGCTGAGCGTTTCATTTTTGTAATTATCACTTCTCTTCTTTCTGACGCGTAATTGCTGTGACTATTCTTTTAGGTATCATAGGAGTCACGGAGAAAGAACTCATAGTTTTCTGTGTTTTTTTTCCACCGAAGATAGAATTCAAGGTTATCTAAGGATTTTAACAACTTGTGTTGAGAGCACATGGTTGGTGTATGTGGTAGGCATATCTTCTACCTCTCTGAGAAAATTAGAAGTGTGTATTTCTCTTGATGAAAAACAAACTTTGGCCTTAATGTTCTTTATTTGTCCATGTTTCCCACATGCATGTCATTGGAAGACTGTCTTGTTTCACAAAGTCACTGAAAGGGAAAAATTAACATAGGAACACTTGACAGTTTCAGATGTGTGCTTCAGGTATTTAGTTTGTGCACTAGATATCTCTAAGTATTTGTACTTAAGGCTAGTAAGAATTTTATGTACTGTATTCATCACCAGTCTTTTGAGGATGACCCCATTAGTCATACATTGTTTTGTGGGTGCATAAATGTGAATTCCATGTATGATGGGGCTGTGCACTCATGGGAATTTGGTAACAGCTCAGTGGATCTATTTAAAGCCCAGATTCCACATGGCAAGCACGATATAATTTTCACCACTCTTCATTAACGTTCTTATAAAGTGACAAAAATGAAACCAAACAAGGAGCTGTTCTACAGCTGCTTTAGGGGAGAGCTACTGTGTGTGGTGTAGTGATAGGAGCTGCAAGACTGCATCCCCGGCACCCGGCCGCCCGCATGGCTAGCTTATGCCCAGAAATAATTACACGGAAACTGTATTCTTTTAAACACTGCCTGAACCATTAGTTCCAGCCTCTTATTGGCTAGCTCTTACATATTGACCTAACCCATTTCTAATAATCTGTGTAGCCCACAAGGTGGCTTACCAGAGAAGATCTTAACCTGCGTCTCTCTGGAGTGGGAGAATCATGGCGACTCCCTGACTCAGCTTCTTTTTCCCAGCATTCTGTTGTTTTCTCCGCCTACCTAAGGGTTGGCCTATCAAATGGGCCTAGGCAGTTTCTTTATTAATAAGAAATCATTCCCACATCAGTGTGGTATTGAGGATAGTACGGCACATTGGTGGGGAGAGACATGGTGAAGGCAGATACTGAAATAAAAGTCAGGGAGACTTTTAATTTGTAGCTTTAGCACATAGGATGATAGCATGATACATAAGAAATATTCTCCTAATATTGCTATTTATAGCTTAAACATTGACTGAGGGGTAGATACTCATGAATGTGAGCTTTACTCATGACACCTCCAGTTGATGAGGCTTAGGGAGAAATCTGGGGAAAGGGGATGCACATTGAATTTTAGAGTTGGTTTCTACCAAAAGTGCTGCAATGGTGATTATTGGAATGTCTGAGAAAGTGCTTTATGAGTTCCTGCATTAGCTGAGCCCTCAAGATGGTAGAATAGGATGCAATATGAGGTACAATAGCACTTCAAAATAAAAACAGATTATCTAAACAGGTTACCAAAAAAGAGGTCACCTAGGAATCTTTTGAGGTAGGATGGCCTAGCCATCAGTAGTGCTTTAGGAAGAGAGGCAACTGACTCAAAAACTCTTTCTTTTCCACCAGTTGTTCCATTCACTTGGTACCAGGACAACAGGTCCTCTTCATCAATCCAGATGCTCCAGAAATGGGAATTTGCAAGCAAGAGCACATAAGAGGAAGTATCTTAATGCTTCCTCTCTGTTCCTCTTAGCCTTTATGTGGGCAGTTAGAGTCAAGTGGAAAGTTTGCCTGTTGGGTTTTCTTTTTGTGTTGCTGTGTTCCACTGGGCTGTGAGTAATTCTGTGGAAGATACTGAGAAACTGGGAAAATTCTGCAGTAGGAGGATTGTTTTTGTCTTTTCTTTTCTGCGAATCAAATTGAAACACTTACGGTTTGCAGCTTTGTCTCTCTGGTCCTGCACTTTCCCTGGGTGTTAACCGTCTGTGGGCACTTTTTTTTTTTTCAATGAGATCACAAGTATTACTAGCTTTCTAATAACTCTGTGTACCTGGACTGGCCTCCTAGTGCCTCTGATTTTTATAGGACCTCTGTGTATCATCTTGTGGAATTATAAAAGAATATCTCTAGCATGCTCTCTGTGTATCTCCCTTTATTATCTCCAGAAATGGCAAATGGCAAGACATTCTTCATTGTCTCTATAGAAAAAATTCTGGCAAATAAGTAAACCCTGAGATGATATGGACTTCAACTCTGCTGTATTTATCTAAAGATATTTGGATTATAACATGGACTGGTCTTGAGAATTAAGTCCTTTAAGATGTAAGCTGATATAGACATTCTAGATGATACATATTATGGGATATCAAAGATTGCTGTTAGATTCGTCCTGATGCCTGAATAGTGACTGGTGCAGGCTCAAGGGTGACTGGTGTAGAAGGACAGATGTACTGGGATCCATGTCTAAAGTGTATTGCACATTGTCCTATACTACTTTTTTTGTTGGAGGAGGCTCCAAAATAATCACATAGAAACTGTATTAATTAAATCACTGCTTGACCCGTTAGCTCTAGCTTCTTATTGGTTAACTCTTACATATTAATTTAACCCATTTCTATTAATCTGTGTATCGCCATGTGGCAGTGGCTTACCAGGTAATGTTCCCAGTGTCTGTCTCCTGGGACTCCATCACTTCTCTCTGACTCTGTCCTTCTTCCTCCCAGTATTCAGCCTAGCTTTCCCTGCCTACCTAAGTCCTGCCTTGCTATAGGTCCAAAGCAGTTTCTTTATTTATTAATAGTAATCACAGAACACAGAGGGGAGTCCCACATCACTTTTTATCTCTTTCTGGGTTTAGTGTAGTGACGTTCTAGTGAGATGGAGAGTTCAGTGCTAACTAGAAACTGAAGGCTGCTCTCAGATGTGTGAATGAGCTGGGAACTGGACCCCTCACCAGCCAAGCCTTCATGTGATACAGAAATTCTTGCTGATAGTTTGAGAGATACTTTGTGTATGATTCCACAACCCTGACCCAGAGAAATGGTCAACTTAACTTTTCTTTTGGGTTTAGTTGGTGGTAATTTGCTACAGCCAGACAATTGGTTCTTAAGTGTGTATTTTGGGGTATGAACTTAGACTTCTGCTCACTATACTGTTCTTTGTTCATACACTACTTGTGTCTAGCACTATATCTTCTTGGATGTCAAACTCAGATGTTGCACTTGGCCAACCATTTGGTTCTAGTCTTCCCAAATACACATATT